CCCCAAAACCCCAAAACCCCAAAACCCCAAAACCCCAGAGCGTACATTTAAATTATAATTCCAGATCCAAGATGAGTAAGGAAAATGCTTTAGCCGCTCTATAAAGATGGTACCCCAAGTCTTAATGCAGAGAATTTAGTTGACATTAAAATATTTAAATGCCTTAAAAAGATATGTGTTTCTTTAGAATAAATATATTTGAATTAAAACTCTAGAAATAAAACCTCTGTTCTTGTCTGAACGATGATTCATTGATTTCTTTCTGATTCAATGACATTATAAATTGTTATTTTGGTTGCTAAACTTTAAATTTTGCGCCAGGATATCTATAATTATTTCTCAAATATAAATTTATAGAACTTTCTCCAGAAACATCTGATGATAAAAATTCTCCAAATTTCTTTCTTCCTTCAAGCCAAGAGACCTCACTTGCTTCAGCTTCTCTTTGAGATAAGAAGAAAAACTTTGTTCATAACAGAAAAACAAAGCTAAAGGAAGCCTTAGCTTTATCTCAAAAGCGAAAAGTTAAAAATTCCAGCAAGAGTAAACAAAGTAAAGCCAGTTTTTCCAAAATTCCGTCTCAATTTCCTATAATGATCAAGTCTACTTATGAATTCAGCAATCAATCTCTTCTCGAAATCAAGAATGACATGATTTTGAGCTATTTAATCCTCTTTTCTATGCTTCCTGTTTAAGCCCACTTTCTACATTTACCAAATAACCATATCAAAACAGGAAAAAGATCAAACTCAAAGTTAAGACATAAACTGAAAATGATGAAAGCATATGGCTTAAAATTCTCCAAGAAGATCAGCATGAGTAAGCAATTTGGACTTCTTCCAATTTCATCATTTGCAATGGAGAAGAAAAGAAGGACAAATGTTTAATATAGAGAATAAAATTGATATAAAAGATATCATATCAAAACTCCGCATTCCTTCACCCTCGATGAGGTAAGTTACAGTCAAGTTACTTTCTACATGTTCTCAATTCATTGCCAGTCGCTTTGATAATATTTCAATGTAGGACCACTTTTGGACACAGCAAAAGAACATCTTCAGAGCAGAAAGCAAATGATGTAAAAACACTGAATAACTGTATAGGGCATTGGTGAAGATGAAGTCACTGCGAAAATTGGAAATTTTAAAAGCAGACTCAAGGAGATAACAAAGATTTACAGTATTAGTTTTAAGAACCTTCCAGAAGGAGGCTCTTTCAATTTAAAGAGGAAAAGTATTCGTCCAACCTCTAGTTTTACTCAAATTTTGCCTTCACAAAGGGAAAATGATAAAAGACCAATCAACTATATTGAGAGAAACAAAAGAATTATAGTGACTCCTCCTACAACTGACCTAAAGGGATCAATAATCGATGCATTTTCCCCGATTACTACAAAGAATACTTTCCCAAAACCCAAAGAGCAGAAAAATTATTCCAAAAGAGTCTTATTAAAAAACAGGAGTTGTGAAGACATTCCAAAAGCTGTAGAATATAAAGAAAGGAGCATACCAAAACTAAATAAGCTGAAGGCTGTGGCACAAGCAAAATACCCCTCGACAAAGAAGGTGCCAAAGAAACTTACTCGCAAGTCTGGTTCTCTCAGAGACATCACCAAAGAAATCTCCAAGGATTTTGAAGTATTCCATTATTCATAACTCTTAGGAAATAACTCAAAATATCAAAAAGAGAAGAACATCAGTAGAAAATGGTAGCCTAATTGTTTATTGATATGTCTAGAGAGGGAAAACGAGCCTTCCCAGAATGAGTGGATGAGCACAATTACATCCACTACTAACTACAAACTCAAGATATCTAGCCAACTTCCTCAGATGAGTGTCGAGGACGAGAAGCAGGCAAACATTCTCAAGTTTATTTTTAAGAAAAACTTTGAAACTGATGCGCCTAAAAGTATCACATATTGTTTAACATCATAGTGAAATAAAGCTTCTACTCTCAATGGATACTATGAAAAGCTAAAGAAAGAGCAAGATAAGCATAAAGAATGGGAATTAGAGCAAAGGAAAGAGATGAGGAGAAATAAAACAGATGATATGAATGCCAAAGGTAGGCAGATTCTATCATATTTTAGCTTACAAAGATACTAGATCAAGTACCCCAAGAAGACCTATATCCATCATTTTGCCAAGTAAGCAATAGACTAAGTCCTCGAGTTCAAAGCTTCGTCTAATCAATAATATAGAGAAGCCTCAACTGTTCAAAAAGACCTTCACCATTTTTGAAAAAGTATTCGACAGAAAGCATACATAAAGAAATTCAATAACTCTTAGATTCAATTTTACAATCTTATTAAGGGGTTTTGGGGTTTTGGGGTTTTGGGGTTTTGGGG